TTCCTCATGGAATTATTTGTTTAGTAATTCGCCGTTACACACTAATATACCAATTGCCAGCACTTATTATAACGCATTTTTTCTTTAAGTATTTATAAACGTTTCTGAGGTATATTTTAGCATTTAATTACACCTACTTCCTCATTTTTCTTAAGTTTAAGCGTATCATCACATGAATATATGTTTTTTTGAGTGTATTATTTGCAATTTAACATTTTATTTGATTGTATATATTTTGAGTTATGCAAATTTAAATAATAGCATGGCATTTTGCTAATGTGGCCCTCTATGGGTATTGACTATTCACGACTTTCTTCTTTGAAGTTTTTATATCAAAATAATTATTTGATAATTGATTATAGCTTTACTGTTAATCTATAGTTTATATTACGTGTACTATTTTTAGTACTGAGATTTTTAGTATTGAACAGCTTATATACAAAAGTTATGTGAATGTATATACATTTATTTGCATACATACATTTTAAAATGTTTTACTTTTTTGTTAATTTTGTAACAAACAAATACTGTTTTTTAAATAAAATTAATATTCCAAGGCTATTTTTATGGAGAGCCACAGTATCACCCATATTTTTCTTTGAGTCATTATGCAATGTCGCCACATTTTTATTAAAAGTATTTTATATCTAAATAATAAGTATTTCATAACTTTGAATCCAGAATCGATTCAACAACACTTTCACGAATGTAATTGTTAAATTTTAAATTTTAATATTGACTATTTAGTTACAAAGTTATTGTGTAGAATGTAACTAGAGTGCCATAATACAACCTTCTCCTCTAATATATATCCATAAATATGTCAAAAATTATAAAAATAATAATATGATGCCTACGATAAATTTTGGTATGAATACGACGCCGGCCTCGTAGTTTCCTATACTATAACCTTCGTAATGTGTGATTAATCCCCATGCAGCTTTGCTCAAATTTGCGCTGGTAAGCAAAAACCAGGGAATTTCTTTCGAATCGGGAGAAATCCTTGTGTAAGATTTAATACGAGGCATCGCACGATCTCGTCCTGTTCGCTTAGCTTTCCATTGACTACAGAAATTAAAAATAAATGTAAAATTCTAGCTATAGAAAAAACGGATTGTTTATAAGATGTAAAAACATGACCAAAAAAAAAAAAATATTTGAATACAATAAAAATAAATCATTGTAACACTTACTATAAATATTGTTCTAGCCACTGCTGCTTAGAATGTATTTCTGCACTATACGTCAAGGGGGTAATTAAATCTTGACAATCAAAGCTTTGTTTATAATTCTCTATTGACGGATAAATAAACTGAAACTGTGGATGATTTTTTAAACCTATAGAAATCTCCTTCGACATACACCGAATTATGTTCTTCAACATCCAACTTTCGATGGTTGGACCAAAGCTGCCTACACCAGAACTCTGTATGACTATAGGCCACTGTGTATCTGGCGGTAGTGTGACATAGCGTGATAGGATGTACGCCAATTTCTTGCATCCCCAAAAATTGGCTTCGTAAC